AAAATACATGTGAAATTGGCCATTAAATGTAGGCATCCCTATAGGCTGAAATCTATCTGAACCTATAAACTTTTGTTTCCATTTTACATACCTCTTCCCTTCCCCTGCCCTGTAGGAAATACAAAACTACAAAACAAAATAATAATAATAATAAATAAATAAATAAACTTTTTATATTTATTTCATGTAACGTTTTTGTTGTATATAAAGTTGTTTATTCAAATTAGAAAATGTATCTAAAATGTAAATTTAAAAATTAGAATTAATTTTAATAGCATTTAACACTAGCCTATTTGCTAACAGTTTTTTTTTTATGAACAAAAAACCAAAAGCTGAAGATTTTTTGTTGTGTACCATTCATCAGTGTTTGTATCAGTATTGTAATCAACAATCAGCATTGTTCAATCAGTATTGCTCAATTTAATTTTAAACTTGTTCTTTTTGTTCTAATGTCACAAGTCATAATCTCAAGTTTACTGGGTTTTACAAAAATCTTTGATGCTTTTGTGTGGGTTTAAGTAGTGTAGCTACTCAAAAACATTTTCATACATCTCCTCCAAAATGACCCACAACCTTATCAGTTTATATGTTCTCACGAAACGATTGTTTGACAAACTACTCGGCAAACTACTTCCTCTCACCGCTGTTTTCTGATGGTTTGGAGAAACCTGTCGTTTCACAGAATTATACAATGGCGAGCAAGTGTGAAAAGTGTCAAGTAAAGGAGGGCGTACACGGTGCGATTTTTGCTGTCGTACGAGCTCGCAGGCGATTTTTTTCTCTCGGGAGAAAATCGCAGATGCTCGCATGGTTGCGACTCGTACCGTGTGAGAAGAATTACGGGCCGATCCGAGACGTTACAAGCACCTCCCGTCCTCCCGATAATTTTCAAACATGTCAAAAAAAATCGGATGCTGTCGGTTTAAATTCGTGGCGTATGTGCGGTTGAACGAGACGATTTGGCGAGCCATTTGAAGTTGACCAATCAGAAGATGACAAAAACCATATAGTCTATAATAATTTTAGTTTAATTATACAGTTCTATTTTTTATTTGTTATTCCGAATGTGCCAAATTTGCCGTTCAGCTTTATGAATGAATATACCTGTTGTATTTCCGGCAAAACGAGCAGAAATTCAGAAATGGCCTACTCCCTCGAGTTCTTTATGAAGAACAGAAAGTCCATGCTTTTCTCTGCTTTTCAGCCATTCTCTTTGCCATGTCCTTTGTCTTCGTTTTTTTTTTTGGACGTCACAAGCAGCCTGCCACAAAGAAAACTACATCCTCAGAATCCATATTTTTATGAATGGCGCAGTTCGGTTGATTAACCCCAAACCTTGCTTACTCGAGGTATGTGGTTCCAAAAACGCGTCCGGGAATAAGTTCATTCAACTCCGAGTATGTTCCTGATTAAGTCACTATGGAAACGGACGCTAAGAAAAAGCGCGCCATGCTGTTTCTTTCTTCTTCTTTTGTTCAGTGGTCGTTTACATGCTTAGTGCATATCGCCACCTAATTGATGGTTGTGCAATCATTTAAGTATGCTGAAGTGTTGCTAGTATGTGCGTGTGATTCTCTCTCCCTGTGTGTGTGTGTGTGTGTGTGTGTGTGACACAGGCACAGGTTCCTCCTATCCTAAGAGTTAATTAATAGTTAATTAGAGCCACATTATTAAGAAACTGGCAGCATCTGTATCAGGGTGCATCTCTCTCATTGTGTCTTTCTACCTCCATGATACTTGACTCTGCAGTCCACCCTACCTAAGGATTAATTGCATACTGTAAACGTATGTACTGTATGCGTGCTCAATGTTTTATTTTAATATTACTATCTACATATTCAAAGTAAAGTTCACTACAAATGTCTACAGTACTATGGCTATTGCTATAGGTTTTTGATGTGTTAGACTATATTGCAAGTAGCCTACATCAGTTTTTTACCCTAAATCCCACTGATATTTCAGTCATGCAATTCAGTAACAGGCTTGTTAACACTTAAGTTAACCAATTATCATGAAGCAATGACATTTTAAAATATACTGGGGTTCTATGCTAAGCTTACAACTGTTTAATACAATGTAGGCTACTGTCAAAAAAAAAAACAGGAGCTAACTGGCAGAAGTAGTGTAAAAATGACTTGTGCTAGCTGTATTTTGTTTTCTTCTTACCTCTGTGGCACTAACTGTTCTCCGCTGCAGCAGCCGAATTTAAACCTTTTGAAAAGAGTTCAGTTAATTTTATGCATTTAGCAGCGTCGAACTTAAAGCCCTTTTTTTCCCCTTTCCCAAAGTTTGTCTGCACCACCTTTCCTTTTTTACAGTCCATTATCTAGCTTTTACTAGCTCGTGTAAAGCCCTTTTTTTCCCCTTTCCCAAAGTTTGTCTGCACCACCTTTCCTTTTTTACAGTCCATTATCTAGCTTTTACTGAAAATTAGCTCGTGTTGCAATCTCTCTGATGACGTGCTTGATTTTGACTGAACGGTTCGTTTGGCCCATCTCGGGACCAGGCGGCCGGCCGTTACCGACTGGGCCAAATGCTTAACATTTATTTATTATTAACATTATTATTATAATAACCATAGAGAAATTGTGCAAGCGATAAAAACACGTCCTATGAGCTGTTGGCCCGTAAAAACTATTTTATTCATATATATTTAGAACAAATCTGACCGGCCCACATTAAACAAAATGGTCAGGCCCCTCTGGCATTTGCCAGAATTGCCAGATGGCCAATCCACCCCTGCCCGGGTATGTCACATAACCTGCTTTCTGGAATACATACACCCCAGATTTGCTGTGTAGAAAGTATAAAAAGGCGGAAGTATAAACAAGGCTTCAACTGCACAAACCGCTTCCACTACGAGAGAAAGCGGCAGCTGCGCGGTGATTCCACTGCTTGCCGCATCCCGTGTGAAAGGGCCTTTAAAGGGTTAGTTCACCCAAAAATGCAAATTCTGTCATTAATTACCCACCCTCATGTCGTTCTAAACCCATAAGACCTCTGTTCATCTTCAGAACACAAATTAAGATATTTTTGATGAATTTTGAGAGCTCTCTGACCCTCCCATAGACAGCAGTGTAATTACATCCGCGTGACCCAGCTGACACAGAACAGCATACGCTGTTTGCGTTCAGTGGATATTCTCCAAAATGGCACCAGGGTGATGCGGAGGAGACGAATTGTTGAATTAAGTCATTATTTTTGTTTTCTTTGCGTACAAAAGGTATTCTCATAGCTTTGTAAAATTACGGTTGAACCCCTGATGTCACATGGATTATTTTACCGATCTCCTTGCTACGTTTCTGGACCTTGATTGTGGTAATTACACTGCTGTCTATGGGAGGGTCAGAGAGCTCTCAAAATTCATCAAAAATATCTTAATTTGTGTTCTGAAGATGAACAGAGGTCTTATGGGTTTAGAACGACATGAGGGTGGGTAATTAATGACAGAATTTGCATTTTTGGGTGAACTAACCCTTTAAGTCAGAAATGTAGGCCTACTTGTGCGCGCGCACAAAAAAACTGACTGCCAAAGTACGAGTGTGAACTTGAATTTCCTTTCACAGCATACTGCACTTACAATAAGTGCAGCACATCACACTATTACTCAACCATCCGTCCATGCTTCTTTATCCACTCCAATGTTTTCCCACTTAAAGCTGCATGGATATATTCACACTTGATTGAACTATTCACACTTTATATCATCGCCACAATATTGTCATATCACCCAGACCTAACATGCAGTAATGCTTTAAACATTTGACAAGCTAGTTGATGAAAAACAACAACCGATTATCAAAACTGATTGACAAACACTATTTTTTCCCTTGTCAGTGCTCTTTTCTTCTTTCATGTTAACTGAAGGCAAATCTGAATGATGCCCTATTTTAACTTTAATCAACAAGTACAATTGACCATGACATCCTCACCTCATCTTATTCCAGAAAAGTCACTCACCCAATGCTGGATGGAGTTGTACAGCTGCAGCTCACGTGATGAATGTTGGGGTTGTGGGGAGTTCATGTCTGAACTTAAATCAGCACGCTGATAAAGAGGTTGACTGGCACAAAGTATTTTATTTTGAAAATACTAATTTTAAATGCATTTAAATACAAATTACATTAGATTTTTGCCGAAGGCTTTAAAATACAAAATACTATTTTGTATTTCAAATATGTATTTTAAATACATGTATTTGAAATACTGCCCATATAGGCAACATAAGGTAACATAACTGATTTTACACAAATTAAACTTGATTCTTAATACTGTGTTTGGAAAACAAACCATTTTTTTTTCTGCTGAGGTTTTTGTGAGGAGTTTGGCATATTACAGTACTTCAGCTCTGACAGTGCAGTCTTTTCTGAGAACTTTACAAAAATAAGCATGATACACTTCTAACTTCTGTAGCAAACATTTTAAGATTATAATACACATGTATGCACATTATAATAATAAATGCATATTGTTTTTTACCAATAAATGCATATTAAAGGAAAAATTCACCCAAAAATGAAAATGTGCTGAAAATGTAGTCACCCTCAAGCCGTCCAAAATGTAGATGAGTTTGTTTCTTCACTGGAACATATTTTGGAGGTTATTACGCATTATTATGGATTAAGAACTTATATTTTGGCCAGAAGCTACAGGTTCAAGTTAAAACACCTTAATGATTTTACCTGGTTCTGTCCCTGGACTTTTATGTTTAAAGGGGTCATATAATGCGATTTCAACGTAACATTTCCGTCTCACGCTTGAGGTATTCGGCCAATCACAACGCACTGGATAGCTGGCCAATCACAGCACACCTCACTTTTCAGACTGATGAGCTTTGTAAAAATCTACGTGTTTCAGAAAGGTGGGGCATAGAGGACAAACAGTAATGTACAGTATGTGGAAAATAATGTTTTTTGAACCTTAAACCGCATAAACACATTTCATTACACCAAATACACAAAATAATGTTCTTTTTAGCAGCATCATATGACTCCTTTAAGTTGTATTCCTGTTTCCTGTCACGTTTGTGGGTCCTTTGTAGTTTTTCTTGTTTGATCAGTCCCTGATTGTTATATTCCCAGCATTGTTAGTCCCTACTGTGTGTTTCCTGTGTTCATTGTTGTCTCATGTCCTTCTGGCTGTTTTTTCTATTCACTGCAGGATTCACTGGTGCTCTAATGCTAGATTTCTCCAAAGCTGTTCTGATGAAGAAACAAACTCATCTACATCTTGGATGGCTGATTGGATGGATGAGTTTTAATTTTCATGTGAATTATTCCTTTAAGTGTGCTTAAACACCCTTCAGTTGCTTAATATACCAGTAAAAAGCTTATTTAGCATCCAGTAACAGTTCTGAAAATATATAACAAAATAACATTTGGCATTTGGTTGCTGCTTCTCTCCACCGTGTCTTTCAGTGCAGTTGTTGCAGGTTCAAATCCTGATATTCAGAGTTTGATCAAGGACACAGTGGTGAGATTTCATAGATCAACCCTTGCAGGATTTGAACCTTTAACAACAAATGTATGATGCCACAAACAGACAAAAGCACAAAGCTTAACTTTAATATAAAAGGATTTCTGCTGAAAACACCAGTTTAACTTTTTAGTACAGTGAATCTTGGGAACAACAGCATACTGGTGTTTTCATCAGGGGTCTGCCCGTGTAGAACTGTAAAGTTGCTAATACGAAAATTCTAAAGATGTAACTTTAGCACCTTTAATAAACACTGACATACTGAAAGAAACCTCAAGCACTCTTTGTGCTATTGGAATTAATATTTTTCTCTGTTTCTTAATGAGAAAGCCAACATGTTGTTTGATTCTGTCTGTTTTTTTTTCTGATAGACTGTATGGCCTTCAAAACCTTTAAACATTATGCTTTTAAAACTACTCTAAACTTTCTGGTCAGGCTTTCTCAAACTTTAATCATTTAGTTGCTAATTTACGGTTTGTCTATTCTGAAGCTATGTTACATAATAACAAAAAAAAATAGGCTACATTTTTATTATTTAAATCACTTAAAACTGAATTATAGCCAATTAGTTTGAATTTTAATTAGCTGAATTTTGTTTCACTGGCATCAGTACTGAATACTGAAATCTTGGTATCATGACACTATTGGTTTCCCAACTTTTCTTTATGTTCCCTTTAAATGAAAGTATCAACATAATAAAGTTTCTGTGATGTCTCATTGGCAGCCCCAGTTTCAGTCTGATTCATTGGCAGGAGTCATCAACAGGGTCTTTTTCCATCTTCAAGAAAACAGATTCACAGAAAGTAAAACAAATGAACAGGATTGATGTTTGAGTTGCACAAACACAAAAATACTTGATGAGTGCTATTGAGTGTTTCTCTTCACATTATTGATTAAAATGAACTATTCAGGAAGAATTTGAACATTTCTATAAAATAGCTGACAAATAATAAAAAAAATAAAAATAAAATGACTTATTGTGACTTCTAATTTTGCATTTGAAAATCTGTATTAATCTTTCCTAAACAGCCTGCACAGTATAGTATTGACAAGTATTAATAGAGTAGTATTGCTACTCTTACTTGCTGTGCTAATAAAGCTGTACTTTTTTTTTTGCATATTATGTGTCATTTGGATTTAGGGGTAATTTCTATTTTTTTTCCCCTCAAGGTCTGCTTCTGTAGTAACAAAAACATTTGTTAAACCCTGATCCTAGACTTGGGTTGAAACTGCTTGGTAAATATAATAATACATAGCCTATATTATTATCATTAATTACAAAATGTATTCATACCACTGTTTCCTTATCAAGTAGCTAATACAGTATGAGAGCAGCGCTGTCTTGAAGAGTCAGTTATTTCTGATCTTTTATATGCAATGAATTCTGAATCAAACCACACAAAAACAACTGGTCAACTCACAGATCTGAAACTGTATTTTGCAGACAGGCAGATTCATTGTAGTATCTTACCTGATTACTGAACTGCATCACCATGTCTGTAACATCGCCTGTAAACAATAACAAACTCCATTAAACGCACACATTGCTTTGGTTAATTAAAGATTCTCACATTTTCAATCTTGTTGAAACCATCTGTATGTCATACTCACTATGTTGTCCTGCTTGACGTTTGCGATAATAAATCACACCAGCAGCAACGAGCAGCAGAACAAGAGCAGCTACACCAGCACATAGGGCTACTACTATTCCTGCTACAGGGGCTGAAGACAGACCTGAATTGGAAACCGCTAAAGACAGACAGTTATTATTATTTTGTGAGTGACGGATAATGAACTTTAACACCGTGTCTACACCAAACCGGTGTCATGTCAAGCTCACACTAGACACGACTGTTGCAAATCCATTCCACCTTCGTGTCAGAAGTAGCTCGAGCGCTTGCAATACATCAGAAATAGAATGTAACATCAGTTTACTGTCCGAGATTTAAAGGGTCATGAAACCCCCCATTTCAGCACTGGTTAGTTCTCACCACAGTTTTAAAAAACGCTAAAAAAAATAAAAAAATAAATAAAAAAGTGGGCACGGTGCGGAGGGGGAAGTTCGGTTATTGTGTCAAATGTTGTCAATTTCAATGGGTCAAATGGTGACAGAAAACACGTCTATTGAGGTGAAGAAGAGACCTTTCATACTTAATTTTAAAATCCGAAAAGTTCATTCAGGAAAACAACTTGAAAGCAGTCGGCAATACATGGGCTGCATGCCACATTCTTCCAATCACTGACACCGCAAATAAGGTCATTAAGCAAAGGCAGATTAAGAACAGTGCGAAACGTGAAACAAGATAACCCAAGATTGTGTTTTCACAGGGTTTAGTTTTAACTATTTCAAGTCCCAAGTCCACTTTGTCAAACAGACTACAGTGAAAACATTTACTAGGTTGATTAAAACATTTCAAACTGTTTTCTAAGGGTGCTTTCACACCTGGAGATCGATTGCTTTGTTCCGAAACAGGGATTAAAATTATTACAATGTTGCTTTTTATTCTTGGTGCGGTTCGCTTTCACATGGCAAAGTTTCCAAACGGACCAAATTTGTTAATACACGTCACGCGCGAGTAAACTGTTCTCTCATTGGTCAAAGTTCCACGGTTTGTTTTCCGGGATTCCACTAGCTGTCACAGCTGTCATGTCCGGATCAAGCACCTCCCGCTCTCTCTGGTGAAGCCAACAAGAGGGGGGTGAATTTTTTTTATAACTCATCCGTTTAAATTATATTAAGCCTTAAAGTTCTGCATAATTAAGGGCGTGGCCACTTGAGTGACAGGTGGATTGCCGCTGCTGACACTGCCGTCGAGCTAGGTGTGCGTGGTTTCAGCAACCTGCTCCCGCCTCTTTGCCCATTTTCGATTATCCTGGAGTCACGCGTGGTGACGCGCTGCAAAGATGGCGACGGACCGCTCCGCCCACTTTGAGCTTCAAAAAGGCTCTTCGGAAATCTACAGGTGACGTCACGGACACTACGTCCATGTTTTTATACAGTCTATGGTCAGGATGGAACGACAACAGCTTCGCGGGCTTATTGTTTGTTTTTTTTGTAGATGTTATATTAATTTATCACTTTGAGCAGAAGTCCAGGATTCATCGGGAAAACATTTTTTAAATGCACACACTAGGAAGAAGAGCAATAAGACGGCATTATAAAATGAAAAAGTGCTCTTTGATTTTGAATGGCGAAGACGTGCTCACCCACAGACATTCACAGGTTCATTTTGAAGTATTAGAAAAACAACAAAGCTAATGCTTTTCATGGAACTTACGTAATTACCCATTATACATTGTGATATAGCCTGGTTCGTTGGTCCGTTAAATCGGACTGCTTTCTGACTACAACCGAACCGCTCCAGAGTTCGTTTTCAATCGAGCCGAGACCACCTCGTTCAGGTGATCTCGGACCAGGGGCGTGTCTACGTGGTGGCCAGGGGTGGCACCGGCCCCCCCTGAAATTTGGCTGGCCACCAGCCAAATTTCCCCAACCCCATTCTTAATTATACGTGTTCAGGCTTGTTTTTAGTGCATTTCTAACTGCATCTGGCAGTGGCGGAGTTGCCGATAATATATCCCCCCCCGGCCACCCTCTTTTGAGCCAGTGCCCCCGACTGGCCCCCCCATTTAAAATGCTCTAGACACGCCCCTGTCTCGGACCAATTGTTTTGGCGCGGATCCGAGCGCAATTGCCGTGTTCACATATGCCCACACGAACCGAGCTAAGGAGGGAAACGCGCCAGGTTCCTAAACAACAGGCCAGGTGTGAAAGCACCCTAAAACTGCTCAAGGGGAAAGGAAATAAATGGCCAAATGATACTCACTAGGGACAGTGACACTGAAGCTCTTTATGATGCTAATTCTGCTGCTGCTGCTGATCTGTAGTTGATAGAGTCCAGACTCTGTGATTGTGATGTTTGTGATGGCCAGAGATCCAGTCTGATGATCCAGCTTCAGTCTGTCTCTGAATCTCCCATCGCTATATTTACACTGAACATCTGTACAGATAAAACTGAGATCTTCAGTGATTTGAGCGATGCGGATGTCATTAAAATACCATCTAATCTCCTCTTGTTGGTTTGTTTCAACATCAGTGTGTAGAATGACTGAATCTCCTTCCATCACTGACACACTACTCACTGCATCAACATAACCTGAAGAAATGAACATAATTATAAGCCAAAAAAATATATAAAATAGGAAAATGCTGTGAAAATGTCCTTTTCTACAGATATATACATAAAGAGACAGATAGTTTTCATTTCACATAGTGGATCAGACACCTACGAGATCAAAGATGAATATATTTTGTGAGTTTCATCACTAAATAACACTCACCAGTGACATCAACAATGAAGCTCCTTATGATGTTGAACCGGATGGTGGTTATCAGCAGATAATAGAGTCCAGTGTCTTCACTTCTGGTGTTTGTGATGGTCAGAGATCCAGTCATATGATTCAGCTTCAGTCTGCCTCTGAATCTCTCGTCAGCATATAAACACTGAACATCTGTACAGATAAAACTAAGATCTCCATTGATTTCAGCGATGCGAATGTCATTAAAAAGCCATTTCATCAAATAATTTGTGGTTTTTACTACACCGGGATCTAAAGTGACAGATTCTCCCTCCTTCACTGACTTTCTCTTCATTTTCTCTCGTTCAGGAACATCTGAAACACAAAACAGCTGCTGGAGGATCTTTTGCTGAAACCAACAAACAAACTACACGACATGAAAGAACTGTGGATCAGATAAGGAACATAATGACTCACCATAGACAGAAACACTGAAGAGCTGAAGAAGACTGTCGCTGCTGCTGTTGATCTGTAGTTTATAGAGTCCAGAGTCTGTGGTTGTGATGTTCATGATGGTCAGAGATCCAGTCTGATGATCCAGCTTCAGTCTGTCTCTGAATCTCTCATCAGCATCTTCACACTGAACATCTGTGCAGGTCTTATTGGGATCTCCACTGATTTCAGCAATGTGAATGCCATTAAAATACCATCTAATCTCCTCTTGTTGGTTTTTTTTAACATCAGTGTGTAGAGTGACTGAATCTCCTCGCATCACTGACACACTCACTGCATCAACATAACCTGAAGAAATGAACATACAGGTGCATCTCAATAAATTAGATAGGCCTATATTTTAGATTTGCTTAGTATATTTTTCTCTCATATTTTTGAAACCTTTGGGAAGTCTGAATTTTAAATACTTCATGTCAGTTATAGTTTTTCTGCATAACATTACTTAGTTTGAATCATTGTAAAAGTTAAAAAGAAGTATATAAATACTCTTTGCATGGCAATCACCCTGCAAGGCATTTGTTCCAGCGGAGTAGTACCATGTCTAATTTGACTGCACAGCTAATGGTTTTTAATCAGGACTGTATTTAGTAGAATTACATGTGTTCTGCTTGGACAGAACAAAACCTTCGCACACTGGCCTTAGTGTTTGGTGGGAGTGTGGTAAAAAAAAATATATTAAAAAAAAGGATCTAAATGTTGTTGTGCTCTTGAACAAGGCGTTTCATTACAAAACCTCTTCATAGGTGATGCACTGTATTAAACATGTAAACAAGACAATTGTGCTAATTTATTCTTTCTACGTTTTTGTCATCATCAAATGTGGTCTAAAATGCAGGCAATCACTACATTTTCACTGCTGTACTGCACATCAACAGCAATCAGACGTGATAGTCTTATTACACATTTTAAAATGTCTAAAAATCGCATCTGGACAGCCTCCATTGCAGCGGCACCACCTCCATCCCCAGCATCATTGTTAACAAAAAGGTTACGTGTCAACCGAAGACACAGGCAAAGCGTAGCAGATATTACAGCAAAGCGGCACCTATCATGTCAACGCATTGATGCCAAAAATGGCGTATTTGCTGTTGATAAGTCGTTCTTTAAGCCATGCTCTCCTATACATGTTAAAAAAAAAAAAACATGGGGTGAAAGTCCAAAAATAACCTGTGAATTGGATGAATTCAATGCAAATGCTGAATTTGCAGTGAGGAGTGGAATTATTCCTTATGAGCGCATTCATCTGAAGTCATTGCTCTTCTGTCCCCGCACGGATGCTACACCCATCATTTTAGATGAGGAGGTACTGACAGAAATGGGTGCTTGTAGGTTTTTTGGGGCATTCGAAGGATTTTGAGGTACAGCTTTTGAACTTCTTTGCTTGTAAACTTTTAATATCTGTAGTGGAGTGTTAAGAAAGAATGTAGCATACACAGTTGTCACAAATTACCCACTGAGGGTGAATTGAGTAAACCAAATGCACTTTATTAACAAAACTATAAACAAATAAATGTATATTTCTATATTTAACAGGGTGCCCCTCTTCAGCTAGGAGGAATTGATTGTGGGGTATTCATGTTGATGGTAAGTGGTCTTATAATTGCTGTACAGCTGTGTCTGTGTGCTAAACACCACATTTGTTAATATAGTCTTGGTTTTGTTTTTTAGTATGCACTCAATGTTACGCTCTCAAAGTCATTTGATTTTGCTGTGGTGAGTTTGCACCAATTTATGGTTATTTGTAAAGCAAAAAGGACTGTGAGAACACTATCAACAAAATGTAAAAAAATTATTAAGATTTCAATTGCTGTCTTTTATCAGTCTGACATACCTATAATCAGGAAGTGGTGGTGATATCAGTTAATTCAGACTTTCCTCTGACAAGGTATGATATTGATAAATACAGAGTTCTGGCATGAAACTCTAGATGGCGCAGTCTGATAGGTCTAACTCAGTCTGACCTAATGACATCATTATCACATGGCACAGCTGATTGGTTCTCTCCTGTATCGGTAGCCAATGAGCTCGCTGCTCAACATTCAAATATTTGACTAGTGCTTGCCGTAGCAGTTGCAGCTTGCTTCAGAAACCCTCCACCTTCCCCAGCTCCACCTGTATAGATCTGCTACGAGGTGATTCATGTATGCTATATGGGGGTTATTTCATGTACATCATATTTTCAGCAGCAATATTTCTTACATGCTCACAGCAGCATGTTGTGGATGTACTGGCAGTAGCAAGTCTCGGTACTTGCTCTTCCGCAGCAGCAGCGTAGCAGATCTATTCCGCCAAGACCAAATACATTAACATTGTCATGTACATTACCATGCCAATCCCTCCGAGAGTTGTCATGCCAGAACTATACTTTTGAATAAAACCTCCATATGTGCATTTCCAGTATGTAGGCAATGTATAAAAAATAAAGCAATGCATGCCTAAAAACACTGTAATGTTTGTCATTTCCCACAGTCAAGTCCCACAACTAGTCACCCAGGAACAAAAACTACCAAATCCAGATGACATGGAAGTCACTCCAACACCAAGAATATTTGTATAGAGGGAATGTATTATGTATTGATTGACTTGTTTATGTATTTACCTTTCCTGTTTCATAAAGTCGGTGTTTATGAGCAGCACTTTATTAATTACATTATTATTGGTATTCTTATATTGCACACAGGACTCGGCGGTGATGAGAAACATTCAGCTGGTCTGTGAGTGGGTGGAGGAGAACCAACACCACTTTGCTGGGAAGATTGAACTGAAGGGGGATGATACCTTGACGGCTATGACAATGTGGGACTTGTTTATAAAAACAATGTTTTGTGAAGGTGAAAGGAATTAAGAAATTCGGGCTACCCTTCCTTTTCACTTTTCAGAGAGTAGAGGAGATGGACTTTTTCTTGCAGGAAATAGGAGACAAAAGAGATATCCGTGTGTCTTGTTTACACAACCCTCACTTGTGAATCTACCAGTGTGGTACTATAATGTAAATATTGATTTTGTTTTGTAAAATACCATTACAATTTTGTGTAAAAAGAAGTGTTGTGTTCTTGAAATACATATTATGATATTTATTATTTTATATCTTCTTATTATAACATTTCATCTAGATTTAAGATTTATATTATGTTAGATGCAAATTTTGCGAATTTAGGTTAATACAAACAAATAAATCCAGCGCAACACTTGTAGGACAGTGGAGTATGTGACTATTAACTTACATTTATCTTCTCCCAAATGTTGGAGTGGATGCCTCACTAATCTAAAAGCACATTTGTTTTTCCTCTAGTGAGGGAAGTGCACATGGCTGGTTTTAGACTACTGGTAACTTATTTCTCTTTTCATTAAAATAGCATAATGCCTATGACATGAAGGTTGAGTCTATCCAAAGTTACAGTCAATATTCCATTTAAATTTACAATATAACAAAAAAAAAATTACAAATAGCCTGTTGGAGTACATGCATTCACATTTACGTATACAAAACAGATTAGGTAACAGAGTCAAACTTTTATTTATTTATTATTATTATTTATTACATGAATTAATCAGATTATTTAGCCTAGATTCATCCTAATAAGAAGAAAATATGACAAGCTGACGTAGATACAAAATTTCAATGGTTGTTAGAAACACACTCATATATAGGGTGACCATATTGTAGTTTTCCAAAAAGAGGACAGTGTGTGTGTGATCAAAAATTACATTATTATATGTAGTGGGGCGGCGTTTGGGTTTGATGGAGATGATCGCCTTTGCTCGGATATTTTATTTATTATACATTAGTTTACATTATGTATTTATAATAATGTATAAATACATTATTATAATGTAATATATTGCATAAATTACATTACAAATGTAATTTATGCAATATTTCAAACCTTTAACCCCCTTGGGAAAATCAACCCATGGCAACAATTTAAAAGTAGTCCAATTCTGTGGAAAAATGCGGCCTTGGCAAGCCTGCATCCAACAAGAGCTGCAGGAGTCAAATTTGACTGATCACAGGTCAAGAGTAAGGAGAAATTTTCAGTCAAATGTAATTTATGCAATATTTCAAACCTTTAACCCACTTGGGAAAATCAACCCATGGCAACAATTTAAAAGTAGTCCAATTCTGTGGAAAAATGCGGCCTTGGCAAGCCTGCATCCAACAAGAGCTGCAGGAGTCAAATTTGACTGATCACAGGTCAAGAGTAAGGAGAAATGACTGACAAGACAATGCTGGAGTATGTGCTGCTCAACAGATCCTGAGCTCACTGACAAATATCTAATCTCGTAAGATGTGCTCCCTTTACACAGAGTGCGTGTGATCGCGAAATCGAAAGTGAAAATGAACAACTCATTCAAAAGAGATTTAAATAGGCTACTCCGCATACTGAGAGCGGCTACTGATGTGGCAAAATTATATACAATATTAGAAGGAGTGGACACGATAATCGCTGGAGTGAAACACATGTTGCGGGAGCAGGCGGCCATGGTCAGAGATTTAGCGGAGCAAAATGAAGGAAACAGCCAAATCCTGTACATTTTGGGCTATTAAGAAATCCCAGCCGAACGCATTTTTTTAGGTCCAAAAAGAGGACATGTCCGGGGAAGTTCATAAGCAGTGTTGCCAAGTCCGCGGTTTTCCCGCGGAATTCGGCTACTTAACACTGTTGCCGCGGGTTGTTGTTCATGTCTGTTGCCGCGGGTTGAAGCGACCCCAATAACGTGATATTTAGTCCCTTGAATGTGAATTTTACTGGAAGATCCCCGCCGAAAAACGTGTATTTTACCTCCGAATGCGATTTTTAAAGGGGAACCCCCCCAAGAAACGCGATTGGACTAGTTTTATTGCGACAACCTGGCAACCCTGTTCATTATGGGCTATTAAGAAATCCCAGCCGAACGCATTTTTTTAGGTCCAAAAAGAGGACATGTCCGGGGAAAAGAGGACATATAGTCACCCTACTCATTCATTATATAATGGGTTAATAATAATCTTTATCTATATAAAAATCTATATTATACAGTATATATATTATACTTAATGGGCCTTTCGCACCGCTGGAACCTTTTCATAGTACCAGAACTAATTGTGGAACTACCCACTTTTTGGAGTTTTCGCACCACCGGAACTGGGTGCGATTTTAGTACCGGACTGCCTTTTTCGAGAACCAAATTAGCTCCTACTCCGGAGCAGGCACCTGCTGTCAGAGAGTGCGTCTCATTCAGACCTGCTGTTTTTGTTTCGTGCAGATGTTTTATGTAGCAAATAAATAAATAACACCTAAA